TATTTTACTTAGAAAATATATAGCTAAAATTAATATATAAGTTTTTATTAAAAAAATTAAACTTTTTAATAAAAACAGACAAATTTGCCTGTGTTACAATTTAAGAAATACCTTCTATTTTCAAACAAACAAAATAAAATATAAACACAAGATTGTTTGATAACAATATTTTTTACACCACATAATGACCAATTGACACTCTGATTAACAAACCAATCCAGACCAAACTGTAAAATCAAAAGAAAATTTAATGATAAGGCTTAGCTTTACAACAGAAAAATACAAGATTTTTTAAATTTAGTATATATATAATTTTTACAACTGTGCCTAGCATAGGCTATAATAGTATTTTCATAGATTGTGTTTTTTTTTGCCTTTTTTTTTTTCTTTTATTTGTTTTTGTTTTTTATTTTTTGTTGCTTAGACAATTTTTTTCTTTATTTTTTTTGGTTTATTTTCTTTATTTTTTTTAGTATTAGTTTTTTTTTCATAAGTTAATTGAAAACTATGAATCTTTCTTGATAGACCATAAATACTATTTAGTAATATATCAAAAAATTCATTTGCAGGATTTTTTAATATAGAGATAAACTTTACTATAATAAATCAAACATAGGTAATTTGGATACTTTAGTGTCACAAAGAGCTGGGTTAGCTAATATTTGTAACTTAGATAAACTTTAGAAAACTTTAGTTAAATTATATTTTTACTTGCGAGTTTAAATGTTTATATCTAATAAAGTATTGTCCAAATTGAAAAAAAAAAAAAATTAATTTGTGTGATTAGAATAGTAGCACAACCAAAATTTGGCAAGTTAGCCTGAATTTAGTTAGAATAGGCTTAAATTAATTAATTTTTACTAATAAACTGGCAGCCTATATATTAACAGTTAAGTAAAATTGGTTTGCACTAAATTCAGGCCAATTTGCTAAATTTTCTAATCTATTCATGTAATTGCAAATGCGCGATTACACGAAAACCAAGCCACCGACACCACATCACGTGAGCAGACTTTTCGAAAATTTTGCCGATGGTGTCCATTATACTATATTTGATCCGCACGAGAAAATACCGCAATGAAATACCTCCAAATTTGACTACTAATATGTGAATATAGATTTTAACTGAGATAATCGCGTCATTAAATAAATTGAAATGCGTCGGGAGTAAGTCAGGGCGTTATCAAGGTCCAAAACTTTTCTTCAGGGTTTACATAATATGTTAACTTGGTAACTAAAATTTAAATTGAGACCAAATTTTAGCTTAATTTCATAAATTCGCCGTGATGCGACGGGTAATAAAAGGCCAAATCACGTGGGTTTTATGTTTAAAGCCACGTTCGGTGATATTCTAACGTTAACAAGTAAACCGGAGATGGGGTATAATGGTTGGGGTTTGTGTGATGTTCATGTTCATAAAAGGACAAGTTAAAGTGATGAACAGTGCACCGACCAAGAGACCGAAGAAGATTTTTAAGAAATTTTCTTTGTATTACAAATGAATAACCAGTAATTTGCTTAGATCCTTTTATAAAAAGTGATTTGTTTATTCTGAAATTTTAACTGAAAAAATCTAATTGCCACGTATCAAAAAATTATACCTGTTTTATACAGTATATCGTAGTATACCAGGCCCGCTTTTACTCAACGAATGTCGCCCGGTCATAACGTTAACGATAACCAAACGACAAATTCCAATATGAATTCCTACACAGTACATGTGGGAGAACAAACTTTTCGTTTATTGCGCTCTTCAATAACCTATGACTCACCAAATCTTTTTTCTTATACTTTTCTCCGTGAAGAAGCGACTTCGGGAGATGCGGAAACAAACAATTCTGCTGAAGCAGACTCGTTCGTTAGCGGTTCGGACGGCTCCGGAAAAGACAATGATCCGTCCGCTATCGTCGAGAATCCAACTGCAAGTGATTTGAAACTCTCACATAAGGGAAAGTCAGGCACTCATGCACAAAATTATTTTTCGTCGAATTCTTCTATTACAATCGACAGAGATCCTAAGCTATTTGAAATCATTTTGAGATATCTTCGAGGTTATAATATATTTCCACTTTCTTCAGTCAATTTACCACCAGGAATGTCCCTTGACCTCTTTCGAGAAAGTTTATTAGAAGACGCACGGTTTTATCGTTTAGACCGGCTCGCACAACTTCTTCAAGCTGAGACACCTACACCTTTATGTTATAAGGATCCATTCACATCAGCAGAAAAGATCCTTTTATCTCTTCGCGATGTGCCGATTCACAAAGAAATCATCAAACCAAAGCTCGATGGATCATCTACTATTGAATTCTTTACCGGAGCGGTGCTTACTATTGAACTTGAACCATCAGATTCTTCTTCAGATACTTCTATACGGTTTCATACAAAATTTTTAAACGAACAAGATCAAAAAGCTTTGGAAACATTGGGAGAGATTTGTGGAGAAAATTCACAAATTCAAATTTCAAGACAGCTTTACGCTAATATGCAAGATACGTTGAATGGCATACGATTAGAAATTGATGGGGTGCAGATCACTGGTATGGACATTGCTTCCATAGGAACTTATAATCAGAGTAATCAAAGGGTCAAGGCGTTAGAAGACATGTTTAGAATTTCAGGAGGCCAACGTTTAGTTATATATGCACAAGAGTTTGTTTTTAGATTGGATCGAATTCAACCTAATACTACTGATAGCAACCAAATAAGTTCGGGTACTGTTGAGAATAATCAAAACTGTGACAATCTCAATGGTAAGGTTCCTTCAGACAGCAATGGTGTAGAAGTAACTGCCAGAAATGGACAAGAAGACATTGAACGTCCTAACGATGCTGCTAATAGATCAAACACAGTCGAAGAAGTGGATGATCACAATCATAGCGAAGAGAGCAACGTTAGTAATGTAACGAATGCAAACGAAGGTAATATGGTGTATCTTGGCGTTGTATGGGCAAAAGGTTGGACACAAGAATGGTGGGCATGGAATGAGTATAGAATGAAATTAGATGCTCTTCAATGATAGGGTAAAGGAAATGATAAAATTATCAATATATATATATATTAACTTTTGTATTTACGACCTATTTTATAGTCAAAAAAAAACTTGGATACTTTATTATTGTTATGATATTTTTATTATACTACTCATTCATTTATCAATTGTTATATTCATATTGTTTTGTTTTCTCTCTTTTGCATACACGACTTACGATTAAAAAAAGATGTTTATTCATGTCGTAATACACAAAAAAAACAAAAACAAAAAACGACAAATTATGTCGGAAAAATATAATGTTAAAATTATTATCATACACACAAGTACGTATGTACGCATACATATACTTTTTTTTTTTTTTCTTAAAAAATTTTTTTTTAAATACCAATCGATAGACAATAACGATAAAGATCGATGTTAAAGGGTACTTACGTTACACGGCATAATTCACAAGGCAGCTTATAGTGGCGTGAGTTCCTTTAATTGTCGCCTACATAACTTTATCGTTATTAAGTAAAAAATATATAATATATAGTGATAATTTTGATTTCGCATGTAATCTTATTAAATGTCTTGAAAGAACACGAAAAAAAAATGAAAGCTTACAACGGGCTTAGCCGGGAATTGAACCCGGGACCTCTCGCACCCTAAGCGAGAATCATGCCACTAGACCACCAAGCCAGATTATTATAAATCTTAAAATATATTGTTAATAATAATCTAGCTCTTCATAAGAGGTCAGGTGATTAATTTAAAAGAAATTATCTGGAAATTGTAAATAGGGGACTAATTCCATAACGATATTCCACTATTAAGTACAGATCGACAAGACGATTTTTATACGTACGTACGTACTGTACGTACTGTACGTATGTATGTATGGATTATCTCCAATTGCCAATTTTTTCGATGATATTTTGAAGCGTTTATACATCATATTTAAATAATTACTTCCCCAGATTTCGTACTGACACCATGTGAGTATCAGCTCTCTTAACAAAACTACATGACAATCGCATGTTTGGACACTCAAGATTATCGATGAAGTTAACAATTTTTATTAATAAAAGTTCTTAATATATTTAAGATCATTTAATTTAATGCGGTTCTAAACTCTCTTCCAGATAAATATAAAAAATCGTTGCATACTCCTTAATTAAACCTAATTTTATGAGGGTAAAATGACGAACGTACAGTACGTACGTACGTAAATTGACGATCTTTTTATTTCTCTCATGTGACCCTCACCCCAGCGAATTTTGAACCATATTCACTAAGTAGAATTGTTCGGAATACTTTCTTTAATTCAAATTTTGGGGAAATAATATAAAGTTTGTTTCATTATGCAAGGGTATAATAAAATTTATTAATAAAAATTTATTTGTATTTCACCAAAATTTGAGGGTAAACTCAATGAAATAAGATACAGTTTACTTAGATGTTTTATTGTAATATATTCGATTCGTCATTTTACCGCATTCGCATAATACCCATACTTACCTTATATTTAGTAATTTACGTACGTGGCAATGCTTCTTTATTATGTTATGAGATGTAATACGTATAAGAACGTAAATTTCAAATTAAATTGAACCTATCGTTATATAGGACGTCTTAAATTCAATCTATAATAAAATTATTATAGTATTAAGAGTAAGGTGATCATGCCTATTTCCAGAGATTTTTTTTTGTCACATAGATAAGTTCTTCAAAAGGGTGTATTTATTTGTAAAATTTAATATATAAAATATAAGATTAATTTATTATTCAACTGTGAAATTTTTTATATTTTATATACTAAAAATTTTTTTTAATAATAAAAGTTACAACCTGTATAATTTATAAAAATTTAAAAGCCACAGTTCTATTTCTATGGATACATAATGAACTTAATTTTTTATTTGATAAATAGACTAAAGTTTATTAGTAAAACAGGTTTGTGGTATTAAATTGTATATAGGTTAAAATTTTTACAGAAATTAAACAAGATTTTATTAATAGACTTGGCTGCTTAATTGTAAGATATATATAAAAATCAATTTTATTTTCGTAGACTACATATCTCAGAACTGTGATTCAATTTGAATAATTTTGATACTATTAGATTTGTCTCAGTAAGATGATTTAAATAATTTCAAAATTATCCAAATTGGATTACAGAGTTATAAGATATACAATTCATATAAATAGATTTGATTATAAAAAACACCTTATATCTCCAGATTTTGTAATCCAATTTGGATAGTTTTAGCACTATTAGATTCATCTTAGTAAGATAATTTAAATGATACCAAAACTATCCAAATTGGATCACAAAACTATAAGATATACAATTTTCAAAAATATATTTGATTTCTAAAAATAATAAAAATAATAAATATATTTTATATATTTTAGAATATTGTGATCTAATTTGAATAATTTTAATACTATTAGATTTATCTCAGTAAGATAATTTGAATAATACCAAAATTATTCAAATTAAATCACAGAATTATGAGATATTATAAAATATTATAATTCACAGATAGTATTCTGAATCAAGCTAGCTTAATTAGACTTGTTGAAATTAGAGATTGGCTCAATTTTGGCTTGAAAAGCTTGTAAGCTAATAGTACAAATTTTTTTTTTTAATTTGGCAGTCTTGTCTCTACTGTTTATTAGATTTACATTTAGGTATTTTTGGTTACAAATGTTATGAGTACAGTTACAACTATCTAGTATATACAGTATTAGCTTATCTAGTTACTAACTTGAGTATCTATATGCAACCTGCTATGTGAGATTTTACTTCCTTATTAACCATCCCACACCAGGCCGGTTTTTAAACTCACTGAATGGTTCCCAAACCTATTTTTATCATATATATCCCGCTTATATACTACTGTACAATGTCCACCAACTAACTTTCATTTCTCATTACTTATAATATTACTCCTAATTTAGTTTTTATATTACTTCCAAATTGGTATCTTTTGAGTGGGCACTCTTTGTGCTTCTAGTTTGGTATCCCTAAGGAGCTACTTTAAGGGCCTAGCTATATCTCAACAGTTGTCTGTACTAAACTAGGATGTTATTTCATGTCGATCTAGGTATTCATGTCATATACTACCAAATTAGACTACCACTCCTTTTATATACTCCCTATTGGTATGGTGTTATAGAAGTCTAAATTCTTAAGACAGGAGTTATATACTTCATTTAATTACTGTTACAAGCCAGTAATTTGGGATCCATGCTTCTGCTATATTTCATCATTGACTTTTATATAGGTTGTATAACATATTACTCTCTGGCCATCTTTATTTTTATACTATCAGATTATTTGTTTTCATGCTTTTTGGTGATTTTTTTAGCTGGTTTTCTTTGTTTTTTTGCACCAGAGGTGTTTTATATTTGGTAAAGCTATCTTCTTACCACAGTCTCTTACTATATTTATTGCTTTTCTCACTACTTCTGGATATACCACATATAGCTGTTCTCCCAATCAAGATCCCAATGCCACCTTAGAGTTGTTGGTGCTACTTTGCCAATTGCAGATTCACATGCACAGCCTTTTGTAGTAAACCTTTTATAACCCATATTACACGCAGTGCTCAGACTTCTTCATGGCTTGGGGTTTCTTCCAAGAATTCTTTATAGGCCAAATATGTACATCATATAGTTTTATCACTACAGGGTTTCATATTTGAAAGCTCCTGAAAGTTATAGAAATAATTAATTAATTGATGATTCTCCAGTCAACTGATGCGTGATCTTAGTAAAATATGATTCAGATTACTATATAAATTTACTGGGGTGAATATGGTGTTCGCCCAAGATAAACTTTTTTTCATACTAAGTTAATCATCTTTTTTGCTTAAGAGACTTTTGTAAAGCTTGTTAAGATGCATCTAATAGTGGTTAGAGTATTAAAATCAGCCTGGTAAGTACTGAAATATCTTTAAAAAACCTCTTTTTTACTATGTAAATTTCTTTGCAAACAATAGTATTGTAATAGTATTGTTTGCAAAGAAATTTACATAGTAAAAGAGAGGTTTTTTAAAGATATCTTAGTACTTACCAGGCTGATTTTGATACTCTAATCACCATTAAATGTGTCTTGACAAGCTTTACAAAAGTTTTTTAAGCAAGAAAAATGATTAACTTAATATGAAAAAAAGTTTACCTTGCGCAAACGCCACATTCACACCATAGTAAATTTATATAGTAATCTGAGTCATATTTTACTAAGATCATGCACCAGTTGACTGGAGAATCATCAATTAATACATTTTTGCAATTTAATTTAAAACTTTACATGCAAAACTATACTAATAAAAAGTTATCCAAATTTATGAAAGTTTTAAAATATATGTATTTTTTAATTCTGAACAACTTTTATTAAGCTTATATCATATATTTACTTAGTACCATTTTGACTTTTATATATATAAACCACTTTTACTTAGTAAAAAATGATTAAAAATCAATTTGTTCTCAAAATAAGCTACTTTGGGAATTTTTGTGTAATTTTTGACCCAAAAATAGTAGCTTATTTTGGAGAAAATATAGTATGTGTGTTCACAAATTACATATTTTGATTAGTCAATCTGAAATGTCTGTTTGTTTCAGACTTCAAATAGTTTTTATTTATTTAGTTGTCTGAAGGACATTACAGATGTATATGTCTGCAAATTAAGGGTTTAAATAGTTGATTTGATAAAAACTATAGGGAGAACTATCCTGAATATAGAAATTATTGTTATACAAGACCTCTGATCTTGTATACCAGCTTGATCAATCAAAATAGCAAATTTTTAATATAACAAATTAAATAATATCACAGCTAAAATTATAGTAAAATCAGTATAATTAAATATTTAACAAATTATATAATATTCATAGTAATATCGGCATAATGTAAAGATAATTTTATTAATTAATTATTAATTAATTATTTATTTTATTTTATTTAAAAAAAAGGCTTTATAGTACACTTTATTATAATTGAAATAAAAAAAAATTACAATTCTAAAAATAAT